ACACACGATATTTACGCACAGCACTAGGTGCTCATTTAAGGCTGAGTCGATCGTGGGGCGGCCCAGGACCGGTTTAAAAAATTCGCCACTGTTATTGGTCGTGAGTGAGAATTGAACTCGGGTCGCCGGGTTTGTAGTGCAGTGGGCTAAACACGAAACTGCCGCACCCCATATCGATAAAAGCACAAACAATCAAACCTAGCACGCGGTGTTTCGGCAATTACACACCTCATACATATATACACAATATAGTACCTGGTGCGGTGTATAAACATTGCCACTTGGGAGACAAAGGCGGTCGGGTGTGAGACTGGCCACCCAATCCCCTCGTGTATCGTGCCAGCCTTGATAGGTCCTCGCTAGCAGCCCGAAAAAAAGTTGCGTAGTCGGCAGGATTCGAACCTGCGCGGGGAGACCCCAATGGATTTCTAGTCCATCGCCTTAACCGCTCGGCCACGACTACCAGACGATGGCAGCCGAACCTATTCTGGTGGTTTTAATTATTAGAGATATGATTTATAAGCGTTTTACAATGAGGATGTTGATATGATAGTGATGGATATTCATTATAATGATTATTAATCGGTGTGTTGACGATCTGATAAGTATGATTTATCGTGGTGATGGTAGTGTTATGAACGGCCGTTGAGTTTTCTAACTTAAAATCGATGTTTGATGGATTAACGATGGCAAGTTTCACGTGAGCTTTATTGGTGGTGATGATGATGATGATTACTGATGCTGTATCAATTATTTGACAAACAGATGAAATAGTTCCGTTGAGACAAAATATGAATAATACGCCGCCACCCAAGTCCGCTCTCGTGGAGAGAGGATGGAGAGAGGGTGCAGAGAGGATGGAGAGAGGGTGGAGAGAGGGTGGAGAGAGGGTGGAGAGAGGATGGAGAGAGGATGGAGAGAGGATGGAGAGAGGGTGGAGAGAGGGTGGAGAGAGGGTAGAGAGAGGGTGGATAGATGATGGAGAGAGGGTGGAGAGAGGGTGGAGAGATGATGGAGAGAGGGTGGAGAGAGGATGGAGAAAGGGTGGAGAGAGGGTGGAGAGATGGTGAAGAGAGGGTGGAGAGAGGATGGAGAGAGAATGGAGAGAGGGTGGAGAGAGGGTGGAGAGAGGATGGAGAGAGGGTGGAGAGAGGGTGGAGAGATGATGGAGAGAGGGTGGAGAGAGGGTGGAGAAAGGGTGGAGAGAGGGTGGAGAGATGGTGAAGAGAGGGTGGAGAGAGGATGGAGAGAGGATGGAGAGAGGGTGGAGAGAGGATGGAGAGAGGATGGAGAGAGGATGGAGAGAGGATGGAGAGATGGTGAAGAGAGGGTGGAGAGAGGGTGGAGAGAGGATGGAGAGAGGGTGGAGAGAGGGTGGAGAGAGGATGGAGAGATGATGGAGAGAGGATGGAGAGAGGATGGAGAGAGGATGGCTCAGAGGAGACAGGAGGAGTAACCACAGCCGAGTGTGCACAGGAAGCAGCAGCAGTAGTGAGGAGCTGGCGCCACACGACCAGCGATTGCTGCTTTCGCGAGAGCGACCTGAGTTGTGATGAAGAATTGAATGCGATAACGCTCGGTTGATGAGTTGCAATAACGATTATGCTGCTGATGATGCAAGATCATGATGCTGATGATGGACGATGATGATACCGCTCCTGATGATGTATGGTGACGATGTTGCTGATGATGATAATGACGCTGATGATATATGATGATGATTTATTTGATAATCGATACGCTGTTAAGGATTCTAGTCATGTAGTGCACTGCCTAACACATTTCTGCCATTTCTGTCGGCTAATAGAGTGATGGCATGAATTGATATAATGTGCAATTATGTGTACTGTATACACGTACGCTACTTTTACAATTCAATTTTATAATCGCTCCTGTCACCTTGCCCTACAGCTCACGGTGGAACTCTGCATGTATTAGAGCGACTCACAACCTCCTTCTCCTCTTCTCTACACCGAGGATTGGTGCCAGGGTCACTGCCGGGTTTCGTCACTCCGTGGCGGCTCCCTCCGTCTGGAACGCGGCCATCATCATCATCATAGTCCCGATGCTGCTGCTGTACATTCACAGCAGCAGCAGCAGCGTTCAATCTACATCGAATTTCAACCAAATATTCAACACGTCTGTTAATAACACTGTGGCCATGAAAGGAAATATATCAGAATCTGTATTTGTCCCGGAATTATCCGATGAGCTATGAAGCTCTTTTGCACAATGTCCAGGAGGGGCGGTTCAGAAAGTTCTAACAATAAACAATGTAAAACAACGGCAGGGGTGTAAAGTGTTTAAATACATGTTTGCAAGTAGTTATAAAGAAATAAGTAAAAAATAAATAAAATGTTTAAGTACATTACTTCCTGGCGATTTTTCAACACTAAATGCAAGCTTGGGTAAGGCAGAAAAACAACAACAACGGTCCCGACCACATCAGGACAACACACAGGCAACGTTTCGGGCAAAGGCCCTTCTTCATAGCACCTTGACGAATGTGTTGAGTCGTTTCGTTTGTGTGTGTGTGAAATTATTTGTCCTACTTTTAAGAGACACTTACAGAGGCCTCCATCTCCATCGTCTGGCTTTCGAGTGCCACTGACCGCGAACCTCAGAGTCGCGGTCATCTGTGGTCTACTGGACATCTGCGAAACTACTGGACATGTGTGAAAGAAAGCTTCGTAGCCCATCGGATTCCTCCAGGATAAATAAAGATGATCATTCTGATTGGTTCGTGAAAGGATATTGTTACACATTACATTGTTATCGTTATTGTTGTTTGACTGTGTGCTAACGACGACATGATCATGAAAATAAAACATAATAAAATAAAATTCTCACGACGTTTCGGCCACAACACAAGTAGCCTTCTTCAGGTGAAGGAACAGAACTGTCGGGGACGACAGCGTTCATTGAAGCGCTGTCGTCCCGACAGTTCTGTTCCTTCACCTGAAGAAGGCTACTTGTGTTGTGGCCGAAACGTCGTGAGAATTTTATTTTATTATGTTTTATTTGTATTATTTTGTTTCCATTCTACGTGACTTTACCGAAAGAACCAAGAAGACGAATCCCTGCAGTCACGAAAGCTTTAAATCGAGATATGATCATAGTTAACAAGGTCACTGATACCGGTGAATGTTATGATGATGATCATCAGAAGCAGCAGCATCATCAAAATCAATAGCAATCATCACCATCGTTCTGATTATTTTCATCTCTACTCCGTGGTCGGTAAAATGAGCACTGGTTTGTAAGGTTGCATCGTTCAATGGTAGTGATGTCGCTGTGTTAATTAATATGGATATACTGGGCCCCGTCATGGAAACGAGGAGTTTCCACCACCGGCCCGCCTGACTTTGCGCTTGTAAATATTGCAGCAGCAGCAGCAGCAGCCTCGTGTCTCTTTGTTTATGGAATAAAAAAATAGACCAAAGCTGCTCGATTGTAAATAATCATCACAACTTACAGCCTATAGGGAATCCACTGCTGGACGAAGGCCTACCCACGCCGAGTGTCGGCCGTGGGGGGTTCTTTGACCATACTTCACCACGCTGGTCAGTGCAAATTAGCAGGAGGGGAGGACCCAGGATCGGTCCAGACATCGCTCAACGCTGATGTTAGCCGTGGCCGGGAATCGAACGCAGATTGCCAGGTCTGTGGCACATTGCGCGTATGACTGTACGTGCACCACGTGTATGTATTTACTATGGCGCTGCGGTGTCGTGGTGAGCCTATATACTGCGCCACCAACCTGAACATCCGAGTTCAATTCCCAGCACCGGTTGAGATCGATATCGCTTGTCGGTTGCGTGAGCCGTGGCCGGGAATGGAACCCAAGCAAGCAAGGGGTGTTCATAGCGGGGAGTGTGCTAACCACTGCGCCACCGCTCTCACTCACCGTCGTTAATAAACTAATGCATAATGAGGATAACGGAATTGCATTGTTCCCACAAGGCCTCCTCTGTATTGTAACTTATTAATGCTGAGTCGGGTCTTTAATAAGAGCGGCGAGCTGTCGCCGACGATGGCAGCATGACTACTCAGAGCAGCCGTGGGACACGGCGATCCATTTATGGATACCCCACTGAATTCTCATGAGCGTCTAACTTTCTTCCGAAAAAGGTTACTCTTGAATATTGTCGCGAAGGCGATGGGACCGCATCTTACAGAGGAGAGAAGTTACCAGACTTCATACGTTGAATTGAGATTTGTGGGCGACACATGTAGAGGCTTTGAAGTGAATACGTTGACTTGTATTAAGTGGTGTATCTATAAATGGATCGCCTTGTATAATACTCGCTAACGATCGCGATTGATGTAAATAATCTCATGATGTTCTAGAAGGGCTAGAAAGATGAATTTGGCACAAATATAGCAATTAGAAATATATTTAAAAAAACATTGCGTTGGTTCTTGATAAAAAAATATATATGATTGTTTTTGTTTAGTATTTTTTTTAGAGATATACCGACGAAATCTTGCAATCTGTATTCATTGAATGCTTACGAATCTAAATGCTGTACGACATCAGGTTTACGTTCTTAAATTCACAAATGTGAGTTTGTTTTAATTGAATTAACCCCCCCCCCCCCCAGCCCCCAACATTTAGAAAAGCACATTTTTCGATGCCTCTTTTTATCGTTTTGAACTTATATCTACAAAGAGTGTGTGTATGTGTATCCGGATTGGATCTGAACAATACATATGATATCACATGTTAACATCGGAAAATCAACATTTGATAATTTTGACCCACTTCAAAATTCACCGAATCAATTTTGCGTGCGAGACGTTTTGGGGGTCTTAAACCCTACGCATTCAAAGTTTGCGTTTTGTGATTTTGAAGGGAGACGAATACAAATATAACTCGCAACTTCTGCTTGCTATTGGGGTGCTTCTATGATAAGTGTGACGCTAAAGCCAATAAAAAGCAAACGAGGCCCGCTGCCGGCCCTTGGGAATGATGTGAATGTGCGGGGCTGTGTTCTCACCTGCCCGGAGCTGGAACGTTGACACGCGATACGGCGAGAGATGGAAGCGCGAATCTGACCCTCTTGCCCTTGGAACCTTGAGATTGACTCGGCAGAGAGCTGGAACCTCCACAGGACAGTCTGTACAGTTCTGCGACTTCCAGGAGCGATTCTGCAGAACACGGAACCATGAGATCCGAGATCCGATTTTTTTTTTTTACGATGACAGCAGTGGCCTTGAGGACAGATCCTGCAGGAACGGAGATCTACGGCTGCAGGAGCTGAGTGATGGACGGGATATGGATTGGGAGATATCCCCACAGAGATTGCACGGCCTTCCTCCGACAGGTCCACGCGTTCAGCACTTTCAATGCCATTCAGGACCCAATAAGATGAAGAGTTTCCCCGATCTATCACAAGGGACCTGGTGTTCCAGGCTCTACTCTTCGGCTCTCATCCTCCACGTCTTGCTCACGGCCGTCCAAGGCTTGGCCGCCTCTTGTCCCGCTCGCGAGTGTCGGGGGCTCTTTAACAAACAAGTTCGTGACGGCGGAGGGGGTGCGCGCGCGTGTGTGAGAGTGGTGGGTGGGTGGGTGGGCGTGTGGTGGGTGGGTGGGTGGTGGCGTGTGGCTCTGTGCGGGTGCACGAGTGTTTGTGTAGTGCTTGCTGCTTGTGTGTGTTTGTGGGGGGGGGGGGGCATGGTGGGCACTTATTACCGCTACGAACCCCACGACCCGAGTTCGATTCCCGCTCACGGCCACGGCCACCAACACCCAGTGACGATTATTTTGAACCGGTTCCTGGGCCTCCCCTAGGTCGACTCAGCCTCAAATAAGTTCCTGCTGCGGTGTGTGAAAACATCGCGACTGGAGAGACAAAGGCGGCCGGGCGTGGTTTCTGGCTACCCACCCTGTCGTGTATCGTTCAGAACCTTCATAGGTGCTCGCTAACAGCACTTGCCCCAACAGACTATAGGGAGATGTTCGTATTTGTGCCGTGTATATGTGTGTGTGTGTTTAGAGCCAGGCGGCGACCAATGTTCGATTCCCGGTTACAGCCAACATCAGTGGCGAAGTGGCATGAGAACTTCTCTCGTTGGTAATCACAATCACCGCCAGTCATGGTCAATCCACTGCTGGATGAAGGCCTCGCCCAGGCCGGCGTCATCCCCGCACGCGAGTTGATTTCATTGCTCCATCTCCCCGGTGTGCGCAACCTCAACCTCTCCGAAGCGTTTAATTCCTTATTTGTTGAACATCCTTCGCACCGTACGTAGCCAACCGTGCTATCGAGCATTTAGCCATTGGTACAATCCCAATTACAGCACGTTTATCAACAGCCAGACTATTGCATCTGAAAACTGGGTAATTGTCTTGTTGTCCGGATTATAAAAGCGGCACGACATGAAAAGGTTGCGAGGTTCCAATCGTGCTTGGGAGTTGACTCAGCCCATCATTCCCCCGGGGCCGATAAAACGAGTACCTCTCTGTGTATAATAGACTCGCCCCCGCCATAGGATTGTGGAGTTAAATGTTCATTTTACTTTAACCTTTAATTAACCATTTTGAAAGTAAAAGTTGGCGGTGCGTCTAATAATTCGAATAATGCTACCTATACACTAACTTTTTTTATTTTACCAGCTAAGGCACACTGAGCTATGTAGCTCTTTTTCAGAAGCGACCTAGCCATAAATGATAGCTCAACGAAGTGGCTTATCGTGTGGAAATACCTGGCCACAAATGATAGCTCAACAAAGTGGCTTATCGTGTTGAAATACCTGGCCACAAATGATAGCTCAACAAAGTGGCTTATCGCGTGGAAATTTATAGCAGCCAAATGCTATAAACGCACGTTGATTATAAATGTGGAGGGAAAACCCGGAGGACCCGGAGAAAAATCCACGGGACCACGGAGAGAGAGACACGCAAACTCCAAATATTCAGACACTGAAGATCTAGTTCATAAACATCTTCTGGAAGATGGTTACCCATAGATGTGATCTTCTGCCGATTATTAACGCATCCCCCCCCGGCCAAAGTTACCCCAAAGTTTGGGCGCGTCTTTCGTTTTTGGATCTGTCTTGCATTTGGGATGTTGATAATAATTATTGCTGTCGCGCTATGCGAGCTATACAATACAAACGCGCGTTTACTCGCGGCTGCTTATCCGAGCTACGAAACATAATCATTGGGGGACTCGCACCACGTGACCGCGGGTCCGCTAAGTGCACTGCGCATGCGCGAGTCCCCCTCTTTCCCCCCCGGGCGAAATGGCGGACGCAGAGTAAGTGTCTCTCCAGCTTCGTGCGATCCGCGTTAATCCTTACAAACCACGCGTCTGTTCGTCAAAATAACTTGTCACAATTCTACAGGAGGGTTTCATTCATCGCCGTGGATAATTATTTACCGATTAATTTTGACCGTTTGTATTTTTTTGTTGTGATTTGAGGCGCGAGTGAATGGAGTTGCTGCATTGGGTGAGGCCTACACGATAGGAGGCTGGAGGCGAGGCCTGTTAAAGCGTCGGGTCAATGTAATGTAATTGCTTTTATTTGTAATTGATTATTCGGTGGCTAATCTAGCGTTGTTGGTCTTGTGTTGTGGACTTGCGTTTTGAGCGTGAATAGGTCATAGCGAAAGCTCACCTGCTAGCTTGGGCCTGTGTAGCGCGAAGCCTTTTTCTAAACATGACCGCGTGTCACTTAGCGTGCGTTAAACTGTGGATACTTTTTGTTAATTTTTTCTTTCATTCGCCATTAACGGCGAGGCGTCTACTATGTTACGTTGCTAACGTGGGTTGTAGCGGTCGCGCGTTGGCTATAGCGATCTTAAATGTGAAGCCGGCCACTCGAGTTTCCCGACCACGGGTTTAACATCGGCGGGGCGAGTGATGCCTCAACCGGTCTTGGGTCTGGGTCCGCTTGCGGCAACCCGCACTGACCGGCGTGGTGAAGTATGACCGGCGTGGTGAAGTATGGTCAGTGAACGCCCATGGACCAGCAACTGCGCAGGAGGCTTTCGGCGGTGAATTGTGGCCAGGGGGCAGCGTGAACGTGCTGTTGTTTTATGGAATACTCTTTAATTAACATTTTCGTTTTCACAATGGTGTGTTATGTAATGCGTTAAACTGAGAGTAAAAAGTGCGTTTGGTAATTTTGAGTTGCTCGTTGTAAACGTATATACAGTACTTCGTGAAATTTGGCTTTTGAGCAGTGCAAAGGATTGGTGTATTGTGTAGTCATAAGTGTACTGTGCAGTCGGCTTAAGGTGTCGAGTGTAATGTGCGGGAAAGGGTTTGGCTTACGTTCATGGTGAGTGTATAATGTAATGAGTGAGCGGTTCTTCTACAATTTAGTATGCAAATAACTCTTCGATAACGAGATACACGAATCTACCATTTGTTGATGACTGTAAAAATAGGCTTGCGTTATATGGACTCGGAAGAAACTTTCTAAAATTACACCGAGTGGCACCACGTTGCGATGAGGAACCGCGGTCCCGAAACAGGGGGTTAGGTGACCAACACGTGGTGATGGGAAGGAATCTCGGTAATAATGATGAGACTGCTGCGCGGTGCAATGATGACTGAACTTTTTTCCCCATCGGATCGAACGTGGCGATGCAAACTGCACTAAGCCAGTTACGTCTGATGTGCCGCACAGTTTTTAAATCCGTTAAAAATATATACACAGCTCTTGTTGTGCACTGCGGGACGAAGAAGGCCTTCCCATGCTGTGTGTCAAGGGGGCTATTTGACCATACTTAATCGCGATGGTCAGTGTGGGTTGTGGCGAAAGGAGGGAGGAGAGAGACCCAGGACTGGTAGTGTCGCCTGTCATCCATGGCGCCACAGCTCCATCCAGTTTTGTTAGACCTCATTGCTGAATATATCTGCTTAGATGATTGGCGTTTGAGAAGCACGTGGCAAACAAACATCTTAACCGTTTTAGCAGTGAGTCTGTAGACTTTGTCCTTTTGCTTGGTAAAGAATCTGGATGTGGCAAATTAATTGCGTGCATTAATCGTGTAATATTAAAATATATCCAGATAAGTTCATATTATTTTTCCAGTCAGTTGGGGAATTAAACCAATGCCACTGTATGACAGTTTTTCATATGGGAGGAATGTGGAGTACACAGTGAAAACATAATATGCATACAGTGGTATAACATCAAATGATCTGCATATAAAGCTTCAAGAATCCACTTAATTTCTCTACTGCCATCTCGTAGCTGATTGTTAATCAGATACTCGTGGTTCCCCAGCCTTTACATCCAAAGCTCAAGATCAAACACGTACCAACACGCTTAGCCAAGTCCTCCATCTCGAACGCATCCGTTAAACCTTGACACATCCACCTGTGTGTGCGTGTGCTTTTCCCTTTTTGTCTTTTAAGACAGAAGAAAGAGGAGGTGCCGGTGGAGAAGAAGAAGAAAAAAGATGTAAAGAAAGTGCCCCAGGTGCCCGAGTCTCTGCTCAAGAGGAGGAAGGCATTCCAGGCCATGCGCACCGTGCGGGCCAAGCAGCGAGTTCGTGATCGCTTGGTACGTTTCTACAACCGCGTGACTGCGCCAGTATAAGTGGCACCTCCAATTGGCACAGTTGGCTACTTTTGGTGCAAAAGAAGTTCTACATAACGTAGTGGTTTGCGCACTGCGCTCTAAACCAATCAAACCTGGATTTGGTTTCTGACCCCGGCTAACATTAGTTGGCCTCCCCTAAGCTGATTTGGTCTTTAATACATTTCTGGTACGGTGTGTTGTCTGACCAGGTAGATCAGTAGTGGAGCAAGTGGCTTGCGGCCAGAAGGTTGCGAGTTAAAATCCAGGTTGGGGTTTGACTTGGCCCAGCATTCCTCCAGGGTTGATAATGAGAACTACTTTGTTGGGTTGCCCTATGATTAAACTCATCTCCGCCATAGGATTGTTGAATTTCCACCGATGGCTCAGGGCTATAAACAGGAGATGAGTACCACTTCAATTATCATTTGAGCAAGAAATTATTTGAACTTTTTAAGGCAACTGATCCTTAAATGCGTACCTGGTACGCTAATGTGGAGAATCGTTGCACGTGTACTGCTGACGCGTCTATAATGTAACCTGGCCATAATCTTATTGAGTTGTGGATCTGTTGATTTTATTACGCCATTGAATGGCGGTTGTGCGGTGCGATGATGACTGACCTTTTTTCCCCATCGGATCGACCGTGGCGATGCAAACTGCACTAAGCCAGTTACGTCTGACGTGCCGCACAGAGCTTAGAAAACTATATTTTGTAATGAAACGAAATTCCCGTGTGAGTTTCTATAGATGTGAGGTGGCCTTTAGCAAGTTTTTTAGTGGTATATATGCTATACGTCTAATTAAGACTTTCTAAACATCCCAATCAAATAGGCTGAAGCTAAGTGGGATTGAGCCTGGATGTTGCGTGGATGGGTGACACCATACAGAAACATGTCATGGGGCTTTCTAGTAGCAGAGGACAGTGCAGCAAAATCCATTGTTGTACTGCACGCTCCAGCGTCCGCTTTCCTACGTTTATCAACTGGCTATGACTAGCGTGATGAAGTATGGTCAAAATAAACCCCCATGACCCACACAGCCTGTGGAGGCCACCATCCAGAAGTGGAATGACAAATTAACCTTGACCAAGATAGTCACGTTGAGATGCTGTTTACAGTAAATTGGAAAATTATCGGTCTAAAATAAATTTACGGTCAAATGGTGCGGTAAACTTGGCCAGAGACGATTGCTTCCCCTGAACTGGGTGTTATGTAGAACATCTACATCCCTTCATCAATCTACTGTTGCCATCTCAGCAATGGCTGATTGCCCATATTTCATCACGCTGACCATTGCGGATTGGTGAAATTGGTTGTTTATGTTGTTACAACTACCTTGCCGATTGAACACGATCTCCTTCCCCACCCGCCGCATGTTTTTTCTCCCGCGCGTCCTCGCACAGACCCGGCGGGTGACGCGCCGTCTGATCTACAAGCGTGCCGAGGCGTACGTCAAGGAGTACCACTCGAAGGAGCGCAGTGAGATTCGTCTGGCGAGGATGGCGCGCAAGGCTGGCAACTTCTACGTCCCTGCCGAGCCCAAGCTCGCGTTCGTCATCCGCATTCGCGGGTAACGCTCTCGCTGCTTGTCCCCCTCATAACCGTGGTCTTGAAAGCCACGAATGCTCATCGTGTGACCTCTTACGTAAGCCGCTCCTGCTGCCGTAGCAGCCTAAAAGAGTGAAGTCCGGTGAGGTACGGTGCTGTGAAGGTCTGTTAGGAACCGTGATAATACTTGCTGGCGGGGAGGAGGGGGGGGGGAGTCTCTTGCACGAGTCGGGCAAACTGCAGAACGGGCAGAATTCGATACCTGTATCCTCAACGGCTGTGACTATCGGGCCGCAATCCTTTGTCTTAACAACTTGGACGGAAGAAGCTGCTCTCCGGGTCAGCGGCAAAGGCGTTTAGCGTTTTACTGCGCTCTGCGCCTCCCCTACCCAATGTGGGTAGTGGATTCTGGGTAACACTTAACATGAATTCAATACCTGTATCCTCATTGGACATGGTTCCTTGTAAAATGTTTCAGTTTGGTGTTTTAACATCTTAACACCTGTTACCAGAAAAAAGGGGAAAAACCTATTCTCATATTTTGGTATTGGCAAAGGATGTCCCATGATGTCGATGCTCACGCCGAGCTCTCATTACTCTGATGGTGGCATTGTCTTTGCGCTGTGTGCCTTTTGGTGTTCTCTGTTCTAACACCGTTTGAGACGAGGCGCACTAAGAAAGCTGTCTGGTGTGGACCAATCGGTTTCAAGGATAATGCATATATTATCAGAGTATTTTTTTAGCGTTGTGGTTAATGCCGACATGATTCCTTGTAAAAGGTTTCAGTTTAACACCTGTTATTTTCCAGAAAAAAAGGGGGAAAACCCTGTTACTTAATATGAAATGGAGTAAAAACAAGATGTTTTATTTCAGAAATGTATTCCGTCCCCCCAGAATTACTGATTTACAAAAAAAAACCTAAGCTGCAATTATGTTGTCAAGTTACATTCACGCAAACTTTAGTGATTTTAATAGTTGAAATGAGGTCAGTTGGCAGAATGGAAATGCCAAGAAACCGAAATGAGGTAGTTCCAAAACTTTGGGGCGGCTACATTAAAAGTGTTTGATCCAAGTTGTGTGCTAAATCTGGAAACTATTACTAAACAATAATACACGCATGCGTCGCAGATTTGTAGGGTTGTCCAGTGGTCTTTGTGGTGAGATTGAATGGGAGTTTTACTTGTACGACTCATAGACTCGCATAGGACCTGGAGACTCAAGTATAGTCCCTGAGACTGATGGACATAGATCCAGGGGTTAATTTCAACCAGGTCTGTCCAATAAAAATGTAATCTCTCGTTTCAATGCGGGTTTGAGTTTGAGAACGCAAATTAGTTTCGAGAGAAAAATGAAATCCAAAAACAGGTATCTGGATTTGTAGCAGTTTGTGCTGACCATTGCACCACTACATTAAAATGTATGCACAATCTCACATTCCACATGGAAAAATAGGTGTGGAATACAGTTATGGAAAGTGCGATTTCTATTTCGATTTATTAGCCTAGCAAGTGTGAATAAAACCTGCAGCGGCTTGTGATGATGACCACAATTTCTTTCCCCATCTGATCGGAAATGCGGAGTAAGAAGCAACTTTTGCCAGTTCTTGTCTGAACTTGCCGCTGTCGAATGTAACCTGTCACTGAATGTAAGCCACGTCTATGCAGGGCAGCATTGCCTTGTGCAATTATTAGTGACTGCACCCACGTTTCTGCTAAAAGTGGACTGCAAATATCCAGTGATAGCTTTACAAGTGTGGGTCTGTTGGAAAGGTTGTGTTAACACATCTACACATTTAAGTTGTAAGGTGAAGATGATCCAGTAAATGGCTCTTGTCCAGATAAGGTTTTGGGCACTGAGTAAAAACAATTTACAAGGGGGGTAAAATGCAACGGAGTGTATGTAGTGGGCCAGCAGAGGGCAGTGCTACAAGGGACGTTTCTTCCCTACTATCACATTTATGTTGCATATCTTGGCCAATGTACTTTGACCAGTGTTTGGAGGTAATGCCCTTTATTTACCCATAGAAGAAGCCTCACTGTGTCTCATGACTTAATCTCAGAAGTGTTCTGCATTGGGGATGTTTGGCCAAAGTGAGAAAACCTATGTATAAAGGGGTGTCGTTATAACTGAAAGCTATCACAGATACTGGACATGTGTGAAATAAAGCTTCCATAGCTCAATGGATTATTTCAGTCTAAATAAAGATTTTGATTCTGAGAATGAAGAATCCATTGCTGTACTGGCACCTCCAATGAGCACGGTTGGCTACGTACGGTGCGAAAGAAGTTCATCTGGCCACTGCAGTCTCCTATCAAATCACTAACCAGGCTTAAACCTGCATTGCTTATGAGAGAGTTGATGTTGATCTGTCCCATTCTGGGTGATTTGGTGGCTCTGCCTATTCACGTGGCTCTCGTACAGACGAACGTTCATTGATTTTTGCGTGCGCGTTTTTCTTTTGCCGTTTTCCCTGTGAAGTATCAACGGGGTGAGCCCCAAGGTGCGCAAGGTCCTGCAGCTCCTGAGGCTGCGGCAGATCTTCAACGGTGT